TGGCACTAGTAAACTAGTTGCAGACAAAACAGCATACTAGTGGACATTTGCTTTTGACTAGTAAACTAGTTGAATGATATAATTTGACAAGTTTACATGCTGAACAGTTAAAACCCTTTACTAGTTAACTAGTTGAACACAGATGTCAACTAGTAGTCTGATCTGTTGACTACTAGTTAACTTGTGACTGACAATTTATCTAACTAGTTAACTAGTACTGCCAAAAAGACCCTTACTAGTACAACTAGTGGACATTTTGCAATTACTTATTAACTAGTTAACTGTGTTTGGCCTCACTAGTTAACTAGCAAGGTCACACATGGTCTAACTGGTAAACTAGTGGACATTTTGACTCGTTCTAGTTAACTAGTATGCATTTAAAGCCTCACTAGTTTACTAGTAAGGCCTTGAAGACCAAAGTAGTGATACTAGTGTGCATTTTTCTTTCACTAGTACTACTAGTAAACATCTTGAGCCCTACTTGTTAACTAGTAAGGTCAATTAGACTGCAACTAGTGGTACTAGTGACATTTATGCCCTTAGTAATAAACTAGTTAAGCTTTTTGAACATCATTAGTTTACTAGTAAAGTCGAAATGTGTTTTACAAGTGTAACTAGTGGACATTTGGTCCTTACTAGTTTACTTGTAAAGGTCAACTGGCAGTCCACTAGTAGTACTAGTAGCACTAGTTGACCGCATGATAATGAAGCAGGCGGGACAAGGATTTTGATTGGTCAATGTCAAACCTGCGATTTTGCCAGCCTTAAAGGGCCAGATCTGAATAGTACCTTCGGTTAAACCAGCACTAATTTCTGAAGGTTTGTTCATTTGTGTCATGTTATATTATCACTAAATGGTAACTCACTGAATGCCCTTTGATAGAATTTTATGACCCATGCACAGATTAAATCCAAATCTGATGTTACATTGTTATTCATCTTTTCAACTTTTTTGTTTTTTAAACTTAGTATTATTTGTTCTAAAAATCACTAATGATTATTCATTATTGCAGTATTTGTCAAAAAATAAACAATAACCCATCACTTAATATTTATATATAGTAGTATGATTGAATAAAATAAAATCTTGCACAACATTAATGTTCAAGGATTTTAGCTTTTTTCTTGCCATTGAAAATATGGCAATATAAAATATGAAAGATATACTAGTTTGAAACTTGCAAAGTGAAAAATTAAATATATTTTTTTTAAATCATGAAAGAAATGTGTTTATATTTAGTTTATCTGCTAGATGATCATGCAAAATATTGAATAAAATATTAGGATTTAGGACAAGTGTATACTGAATTATTAAACTAATGTGAATAAGATGTTTTAATGTTTTTTTTATAAATATAAAGTCAGCCTCTTACATCTGGAGAAATAACCCTTATACAAGAAGTAGCTGCAGAGAGATATGCATTTCGGCCATTAGGTGTCAGTTGCAGGATCGGTATGTTATGGACTTGCTAAATTTTCTTGGTTTAGCTTCGAGTAAGCCCAGCAGAAAAGATACATATGGCAGTGAGCAGATATAAGTGCACAAGCAACATACATTAAGATTTATTTTATCATATGAGGAGTCATGTTTTTATGATTAAAGCATAAAATTAAGATACTACTTGCAAATGCCCACCAGATGGTGCTATACTTATATATGCTGCTAATGTGTACAGTACTAGTACTACTAGTGGACATTTAGGCTCTTACTAGTAGCACTAGTAGTACTAGTAGCACTAGTTGCACTAGTTGCACTAGTTGCACTAGTAGCACTAGTAGCACTAGTTGTACTAGTAGCACTAGTACTACTAGTGGACATTAAGGCTCTTACTAGTAGCACTAGTAGTACTAGTAGCACTAGTTGCACTAGTTGCACTAGTTGCACTAGTAGTACTAGTGGACACTTAGGCTCTTACTAGTAGCACTAGTAGTACTAGTAGCACTAGTTGCACTAGTTGCACTAGTACTACTAGTGGACATTTAGGCTCTTACTAGTAGTACTAGTAGCACTAGTAGCACTAGTAGCACTAGTAGTATGCATGCTGATGAAGCAGTCGGGACAAGGATTTTGATTGGTCAATGTCAAACCAATGATTTTGCCAGCCTTAAAGGACCAGCTCTGAATAGTACCTTGAGATAAACTGTGGCTAATTTTTTAAGCTTTGTTTATTTGTTTTACGTTATATTTTCACAAAATGGTAACACATTGAATGTCCTTTGGTAGAATTTTATGACCCATGCTCAAAACCACATCTGATATTACATTTTTATTTATGTTACAGAGAAGTATTGATCTCTAGTCCAATCTTTGTTTTTTAAACTTTGTTTTATTTGTTATAAAAATCACTAATGATTATTAGTGATTGCAGTATTTGTGGGAAATTAAAGCAATGACATGTCACTGAAATATATGCAAATATTTATACTTTTTAAATGTTTTTTTTCTTTTTTCTTTTTAACTATAGGATCAATTTATTTTGTGTTCTTTCAAATGACAGCATGTTTCTATGTGAACTGGAAATAAACCAACCAGGTCATAACGTGATTTAAAAAAGCAAAATAAAAGTCAGACAATGTCTTCTTTTAAGCAACATATTATTATAATAAAAAATATTAATATTTTATTTAAAATACATTTATTTTCCATTGTAGGCCTATTCTAATGGTTGGAATACATATATTCAACCATAATCCTTTTTAAATAATATTGTTTCCAAAATGTAATTATAATTGTTATCATAGCAGAATTGTAAGGAAAACTATTGTAATCATAATAATAAAAACAACTATATAATTATAACAGAATGTGTGAAATAAAATATTAAGTTTTCACTGTAATCGAACTAACATTTTCTTAAACCCAGACACAGCCTACAACTGAAGCATTTTAATCTTTTTCAACAACATCTAAGACAGACACATAATTGCACGTTCAGAAGTAGACTACAGCTGCAGTGGGGTTCTTAGTGCTTTTTATGCTTTTTTTCACGGTCAAATATAACCAGAAGGTGGCGGCAGACATCAACTGCTAATCAAAGCTATCGGTGTCATGAGCCAGACTTCAGAAGAAGCTGCCACAGAAAGTGGTTTTAATAATATTATTAATCGCGTGTGGAATGCGCTGGATGTTGCAAGACAAGAACTGGCAATGCAAAGGAGTGAAAGCAACATTTTGAGTACCACCAGAAATGCTTTCCGGAGACAAAGAAGAGCAGGTCCGATGACAGGTAAGTAGCATGTGTAAGCCCTCTTAAATTAGCATTAGCACCAAATGGTAAAGTTCGGTTTGATTAGTTTATTTCAGTATGTCCATTTTCAGTGTCAATGCTGAATTGCAAGGGGCTTTTAAACGAATCCTTTTTTGTCCCACTTCATAGTCAAGTCTAAGCAGAAGGCTTAGCTAGCTATGGCTGTCCTATGTGTAGCTAACAGAAACTAATGGAAAAGTCCGGACCTAATTCTCAGTAGGAATGCGCGGCTTTTGCATCTGACAAACTGTGACACAGTCTAATTTATAAATCAAAAGCTAAGGGTTAAATTCTGCCTAAACTTCGCTGCAGAACAAATAGCCTCTCTGTGCTTTGCCGTTTTCAATGGTAACTGCACCGTTACTACAGTGTCTCTGATGACCCATTGACATTTTTCTGTGATCATGAAAACAGTTCCGCCTCTGGATAACCTATAACTATTTATTTGCAATAATGTAGCCTATGTTAATGTTACTTTGACATTACCGTTATCTTTATAATCTGGGGTGTAGCCCATACATATTAAAGTATCGCTCAACTTTCTAGTGAACTGGAAGGTGTACTCTGTGCACGCTGTTTTTCCTCTGTATGTAGACAGAATTGAGAACCATCAGTATGATAATGCATCCGAGACAGCGAGGAAGTGAGAGCAGGTTCGGATGGCTTAACTCCACAATCAGACATGAAACAAGAGAAAACTGCGTGAAGCAAAAGTCTTTATGCAGTATGCTTTGTGAATTGGACCTTAAGGGAGCAAAAAGCAGGCGCATATGATGCGCAATTCATAGAGCTATTTGAAGCCACAATACATTCCTAGGGTCAATTTTCCTCTTAATATGTAATGATAAGCTTAAGTAGGATGTTTTCTGACAATATTGAAAAAATAAATCTGGACATGATTTTCGTGCAGTATTGAGTGTAATGATGTTAAGAGAAGCCTCCAAAACTTTTCAATGCATGGATTGTATAAGTCGATCATCACTTTAAGGGGGGGCTGCCACTTTGATTTAGAGGGCTTCTCTGTAAAGATCTCAGTAATTTTAAATGAGATATTGCACAAATATATGTGCTGTACGAGAGTTAACAGCAGCGACTAAGGGAGAATTTAAGCTATGTTATGAACATTAAATATTAAAATGTTATGTCAATGACTGAGGACATAACATGAGAATGAATATAATGAGTATATAATGTACATAATAAGGTGATCCTTGCAATAATATGTAACACACTATATTTTTGATTTGAACACAAGCCCCTGCAAACAGGACACCTGGAGTTTGGAGAGTAAAGCTGTTCCTGCTACCAAATGCTGATGAAGTTGTCCTTCCATCTCATTCAGAATGCTGTAAACTAAGCCAAAAAGGCTTAGGTAAGATACACATGTATTAGTTTTGAAAGTGAGCATTCACTTGAGTTTTTATGGACACCACAAACACCACAGTTACATAATCTCATTCCAGTACCATTTGTCTGACATGTTTTGGAAGGTGGACTTGCCCTTACTGTGCTATATAAAATGATTGTAAGATTTTAAGCTTGCACCATAAAAAAAAAAAAAAAAAATCATATTGTGCATAAGGCACAAATAGCCACATCATATGCTCACAACATAACAAATATAACAATGTATGTTGTTAAAGGCTTATAAAGACACTGTAAGGCCTTAACTCTTAGTCGGTGGTTAGAAAGAAAAAATGAGTCAACATATCATACTCGCTGACATAAATTTGTATTGTTTTTCAGGAATCCCAAGAAATGATTTACCAAGTGGGGTCTCAAATAGAGGTCACGTAGAACTTTCTTGGACTCTTTCAGAGTTTGATAATTACATCTGCCAGAGCTTTCCCATGGTTAGCCTGAATGTCATTGGATATCATCTTGCAAGAGCTGATAAGACCAGGGTTCTGACTAAAATTCAGGCTAATACATTGAAAGACCTGAAGAAAACAGTTGGAAGAAGCAGGGTTTATATTATTCCCCAGACCACTATTACACTGCCGTTACAGGTGAGTTTTTTTGTTTTATTTGTTCTATTAGGGCAGCACTCCTTTTGAATTTTAGCATACTGATGAGAATTATCAAACATTTCTTTTCCATTTAGATCCCCGAACCTGAAGGGGCTCATAGCCCACCAGAAACATCTCCACCAACTGGACCTGAGACAGCTTCACAGTCTCTAGCTTCTTCAGCATCCACACAACTGATGACCACACCAACTGCTGCATCGACAGCCATCAGACCTGCAGCCTCAACCACTGCCCCTGCAGCCATTGATGTATTTCCATCCCAATCCCCTTCATCACTGGCCCTCAGACCTCAAGCCTCAGGTTCTGCCCCCCAGGTTACACCCCCTGCTCCTACGGTTCCTATGAACATGCCAGCATTCACATCTAACAGTAATTCTCATATAGGTGCAGAGTCCCCTCCCCTTAATGCCATGTCACTCTCTTCAACTCTTGACATTGATGGAAGCTCACCAAGGACAGACTCAAACCCATCACTTGTAAGTTGCTGCAAAAAAAGAGTAAATTTTCTATCTAATTCTGATTATTCAGACTAAAGTAAACAGTAGGCTAATCTTAATGATTTCTAGCTGTATTAAAAGATAATCGTTATAATTTTTTAAAGCTAACCTCAGTAAAATGCAGTTAGATATACATTGTAACTCTTTTCTATCAATAGGAGGCAAGTTTGGATCCTGCACAGTGGCTGAATGCTGGTACCCCAGAGGTAAACTTTTACATGACAAAAGTTATTTTTTCTTATTGTTTTCCATTTAATGTCTTCTATTAAATTTTTCAAATATATTGACTTTAACTGGAACATTCCACACAATATTTTTACTTTACAGGTCTTTTACAGAAGGGCACATGTGGAACCACCTAATAGGTATTTTTTATTTTAATAAAAACAGGAACCATGTGTGACACCTGGCTTTACATTAATTTACACTCATAATACCCAACTTTACATAGATTTTACTAATAATAATAACTGAATACACCAGATTATCCCCAAAACTGTACCAAAAAATGTTTGGGTTCAGAAGAGTTTGAAATTATTATTTGAAATGCCTTAAAGTTATATTGACACTTACAAAGAAATCTGTCTGCCGTTGTAGTACTTCTATCAATGACTTTGTCATTGATGATTCAGAGGAAGGGGAAGAGGACGATAACATTGCAGTTCCTTTTGAAAGTGACATGCCTACTTCTGTAAGTTTTATTTTTTTCCTAACAAAAACCGATAAGTGTAATTTTCAATAACTAGCCATTTCACGTACTCACAATAAAAATAATTGTATATTGCTGTTTTTAAAGATATTCTAAGATCATCAGTCCTATTTAGTGACCAACCTCTTTTGCCAGTCATTTTTATTGTATACTTTATACATTTATTATTCTTCAGGAGGAAGTGGAGCTTGCCATAATTCTGAGCGCTTTTCGAGAGGATCACCTTTCTGGGGGGCGTCATATCCACTTGTTGTATCAGGAGGAAAAAGCTTCTGGAGAGTGCCATTAAAGCAATCTCCAGAGTCACTTTCTGTTGGACCGATTCACCACAGATTGAGTTTGTAGGAGAAGATGCAGATGATATGGGGGGACCACAGCGAGAGTTTTTCAGGTCTGTGTACCCTCAATATTTTTGAAATATTTTACTCAAAATGTGTTCATGTTTTCAAGTAATTGCATTGTTAGATCGTTTGATTTGTCTTTGCTGTTGCTCTACTCTAGACTCTTGATGATAGAGGTTCAGACCTCTCTTGGCATTTTCGAAGGAAAGGCTGGCCAGGTCTTTCTTAGTTACGACCAAGCAGCATTAGACCAAAATAAGTACTTCAAAGCTGGGAATCTTATCGCTTGGTCGATTGCACATGGAGGTCCATGCATCAAAGCCCTGGATCCCAGCCTCTTCCAGCTGATGTGTGGCCAGGAGCCACAGCTTGAGCAGTTTGACTGGCAGTTGCTGCCTGACCCAGAGGTGCAAAGCAAAGTCAAAAGGGTACTTAATATTTATTATGTTATTCATTTTGGGGATTTTAAACAAACCATTTTTTAACTGGTAGACAATATATCCATTTGTTCAATTCTTGATAAACACTTTTTAACACAAGTTAAGAACATTGCTCTATAAATAAAGATTACTATTAAATCTCAGATCATATTATTGCTTAATTTGAAACTCCAGCTAAATTGTTCTCACTCAGATTTTGCTATTTAGATCCTAGAGTGCAAGACTGCAGGGGACCTGACAGCACTCCAGGAAGACTTGGGGGACTGGATTAATGAGTGTGGTGTCCCATTCATATTCACAGCTACAATTGAAGACATACCAAAAATCTATGCTTACGTGGTGAAGCACTACATCTTTCTCAGGTAAAAATGTATATACAACTGAAATAGGCCTAAAAAAAACAACAACTACAAAACACTACAAAAATCTATAATATCAACTTGAAAATTTTTATGTAAATTTGGACAATGTTAAATTGTTTTTTTTTAACAAATGTAAAAGTAAGTAAACCTTTAATCCATCTCCTACGAAAATTGACATTTCAACATTTAAATGTTTGGATTAACAGGACAAAAAGCTACCGTAAATCATCAATCTAGCAACACATTTATATAAAATATTGATGGTAGTGTCACAAATTACCAGGACAGAAAGAAATACTACCAGCTGTAGGTCAGACATATGTTTTTTGTAGTGTTGTACAGGTGTTTTACTGTAATGGGTTGCCTCTGTTCTTTCTGTCCTGGTCATGGCTGCTAAAACCAAAAAGCTACTGTAAAGATACATTTAAGAAATTGTCATTTCATACTTGAATAGTATTTTGAAACATTTTTATTTTTGAAAATAAGCGCATTTAAAAAAATATCTGTGATTCTAAACTTCTGAATGGTTTTATTCATGTTCTGTCTCTGTTGGTTTATAGAACGGCCAGAATGGTACACCAGTTCACAGAGGGAATGAACGCTTTTGGGAAGCTGTGGGACCTGGTAAAGGAGAACTGGATTGCCTTCCTACCATTGTTCACCAACATGCAGGAGCCTTTGTCAAAGGCAGCATTCAAGGCCATCTTCACTTACAGTTACAGCAGTAGAGGAACCAACCGACGTGAGGAAGAGGAGGACACCATCTACTGCTGGGAGCTGGTTCTGAACATGATTGAAGGTACATTTTATTCCTTTAAGAACACTATAAAATTTAATTAACGCCTACAAAGTCCATTTAAAATGTACTGTGACACAGGTCAAATAATGAAAGTGTAATTGTGGGATGTAATTTCAGTATAGAAAAATGTGGTCCAGAGAGTCATGTTTACAAACTATACAGTCCATACATGGAATATATACAGTCCTCATTTTTTCACGTTAGACAATTGATGTAGACATGAATGGTCATTTATTTTATTTATTTATTTTCCCTGGCAGACAAATTGACTGAACTCAGATTCGAAGACCTTCTGATATTCATCACTGGTGCAGATGAAGTCCCTGCCCTTGGGTTTCCAAATAAGCCCTGCATTGACTTCTTTGAACAGGAGTCAGGCCAGCGACGTTTGCCCTACGCCTCGACTTGCATGATGTGCTTGTTCCTTCCTAGAGGAATCACGCAGGAGGACGAATTACATCGGATGCTTTTTCAGGCCACTAAAGACTCTTTGGGATTTGGAAAGGTTTAGTCCTTACCAATTTAAGCTCAGAGTAGCAGAATCCTGGCAGGATTAGCTGATACTTTCAGTCAGTTTGCACCATCTTAACTAAAAAAAAACAATGTTAAAATATGGCTAGTCCCCCCTAACAAGTTCTAAAGTCTGTGTTCTTGTTTATGTAAAATCTACATTGGTGCTTGTAAAGCCTGCTACTTATGACCATTTTATTATTGACTAATGAGCCAATGATAAACTGTATTTGCATGACAGCCTTGTTTTTGTGATGTAAAGCTCAGGATCAGAGGCTAAATGTTATCATTTCTTACTGCTTTGTTCTAGGTTGTTCATCGCATAAATTATGCTTGATCTCACAGAAACATGGCATTCATGGAAATATATATATATCATCTCCATCCCCATTGGCTGGTGAAAACACATCAGCTCCCCACGCAGAAATGTCCCAAGTCAAGTAAAACATCAAAATCCAGACAAAGGACAGGCTGTCTACAGACCAAGTCACCACCACACATTTACTGTATAGAGGCAATACGTAATGACTGAGTTGCATTGCTTCTGCACAAGTCTTTTTTTTTTTTGGATAAAGTTTCTGCCTCCATCATTTTATTGTCTTTTCAAAACAATAATTAGCAAGTTCATTGTGTTCTGAGAATAATGTTTTGAAGCTCTCTTGCACACACAAGATACCTGTCCTTTAAGTGTGTTATTCCAGCAATTGCATTTTGAAGAGCCTGGTGTTGATCAGAGCTTATGTTGAGTGGTTGTTGCACAATCACTGCTTGTTCCAAGTCTTCTCTGTTTGCTTGTAACTGGGTTAGCTGTATGCCATGTCTTGCCAAGCAAGCCTCAAGATTTTCTTCAATGTAAGGGTCAACTCCAAAAACATTGTTAAGAGCTGTTGACTCCTGCTCAATGTTGGCCAGCATGCCTTCCATCCATATTTGTGTTGGTGTACGGTTATTAGCCGTTCTAATTTTATGGTTGTTCCATGCTTGTCTAAATAAATCTAGACGTTTTTGGATTTCGGGCTTGTAAACTACTTGTAGAGCCATTTTCTGAAAGTTATCTTCAGGGTTCAGGATTTGTTCATCTTCGAAAGAATAGAAAAGTGTGTAGAAGTAGTGCACAACCTGCTGAAAAACATCTCTCCAAAGACGTTCAATACGTTGGTTGTGTACAGACTGACCGGCAATGTGACCTGCATGTCCTTGTCCCTGCAGAAGGTTCATCAAAAGAGCAACCAGAGTGTTCTCCCCTCCGCGGTCCGATCTGACTCTGGAGGGTAACCCATAAAGACAGGTGGCTCGAACAAAATTAGTTAACACTGTCAAAGCTGTGTTGTTTGTACTGCAGTTGATGTAAGTTATTAATCTGGAGTTCCCATCAATACCGGCATGCGTCACAAACCCCCACCTGTAAAACATATAAAATAAAAATGAACAATTGATTACTTCTTTACACATAAACCCTTACAGATCATTCTATCACATTTAAACCACAAAATTCATTAATTTTAATATTGTTGATCAAAAAGATTGAGATAGAAAAGAGAAAGAAGATGATAATGAAATGTAGATTAAGATGGATTGGGGAGAGGTCATACCATACTAAAAAAATCTAGGCGGTAACAAAGACAATGAAAACAAATCAACTAAACCCATCTAATATGACTCAATAATACTCCCAGCAATAAAGATGTGCAATTACCGAATGAGACGCATATGGCCATCTATGTGCCACAAACTATTTGGAAATGGCACATGGTAAGTTCTCCTTGCCACAGTCTGACTCCATCTCTGGGCTGCAGCGGCTGGATCAATGCGGTTAAGGGTCTCTCGAACTCTTCTTCTTTGCACTACAATCCCTTCTGCACGCAGGTATGCCCGCATCATCTGAAATTAGTTCAAAATTGAAAGCTGTTACGATAAAGTTCATTTTTGTAAAAGGATACACAAGAATATGTTGCAGTATGCTTACTTCTGAGCCTGATCTTGGAAACTGATTATGGAGTCTCCTGATGTGCTCCTCTAGGTGAATTTCGCTAATGGAAGTAAATCTCTTTCTTGCTGAAATCTGAAAAGATTTCATTTTCTTATGAAGGTAGGAAGAGGAACAGCCGAGCATCCTTGCCATGGCTCTGACTGTGAAACCTTGAGTAAGGAGCAGCTGAATTTGCTCCCTTGTAATGTCAAGCGCAGGTCTCCCTCGTCTCCCTAAAAATGTTTAAATAAAATAATTCAGTAATATAGCAATCCAAATATTCCGGTGATTTCATGCAGCACAGTAGTAAAAAAGAAAACAGTTTTTTTGCCATACCACTTTTTTCGTGCATATTTTCAGTATGCCAAATTAGTTGTCTTCCTAAACATACAGTATGTATGCCCAAAATTAGTCATTTAAGTTATTGGACCAATGTGGGTAGCTCACTGAAATCAGAGTATGTGTTGAAACTGGATGGCTGGGAAGAGGACCTACATAGATTTTCATGTTACAAAGCCTAATTGCAGTTACTAAATAATGACTGGTGCAAAGTAGTTTCATTGTTTCTGAAGTAACACAGTCAATTCTAAGTCTTTATAGTAACCCATCACACTGTTTCAATTTGGTTACCTAATGCGTCCCTGAATTAGTCTTGAATATCAAATCTGATAAGTAATATCAAACACAACAAAACCGACAAAAAACACAATAATTTACCAAACTTACCAGAATGCATACGGCCTGCTTGGAAACCAGCAACTGTAGCTGCGGGTGCAGCGATTACAGATTTGAGATCTGTGAGACTTTGGATTAAATTCCTCAAAGTGTCGACGCTAATGGCATCCTCAACTCTTCTTAAATTAGCGATTGAAATATTGAGAGTGTGAACTTCTCTTGGACCTGCAGATCCTTGATGAAAGGCTCTTTCAATAGCTATACATCTCCTTCTAATGAGCCTAAGGACAGTGTCAGCCATGTCTGCGTTTAAAACTGTAGCATTTGGTAAATTTTCTTAACCAATAAACAAGCAACCACATTGACCAAAAGCTTAACCAATCAAATAGGCAGCTTCTTTGTATTCCCCTCCCCCATACCCATCCAATTTCATGGAAGCTGTGCGACTAGGGCGACTAGTGCGACTAGGGCGACTAGTGCTACTAGGGCTACTAGGGCGACTAGTGCGACTAGTGCGACTAGTGCTACTAGTGCTACTAGTGCGACTAGTGCGACTAGTGCTACTAGTGCTACTAGTGCGACTAGTGCTACTAGTGCGACTAGTGCGACTAGTGCTACTAGTGCTACTAGTGCGACTAGTGCGACTAGTGCGACTAGTCGCACTAGTAAAGGCCTAAATGTCAACTAGTAGTACTAGTACTGTAGACAGTATATGTACGTATAGCACCATCTGTGGGGCATTTGCAAATAGTACAATTTTTAACCTTTACTGTACATGATAAAATTAAATTTTTAGGGCTCATTTATACAATGGAGTAGAGCCATCTTAAAGAAAAAAAGAGAAAATATTAATCTTGTATATGTACGAGAATAAACATGTAAATTTAGGAGAATAAAAAAATGATGAAAGGAGAACCCCTAAAGCATTTTCCTCTGCCACAAAAGAGACAGTTTCATCCAAGTCAGTGTGGTTCTTTCTTTGGAAAATTACAGTTGCTTCCAGTATCTTTTCAGGGTCCTAATATTTTATGACAATGTGATGATGATGTGCTGATAAAACAACTTATCGGATATATTTGTCAAACTGTTTTTACAGACTACACAAGGAAGGAGCCTATTTCCTTATTTGTCAAACCTTTACTATAACAAGATGCTCCACGTTTATCATTTTCGAACAGGCGGCTCCTGCTCTTCTGATATACCAATATATTCTACTATTATATTATATAATATATTATATGTTCAAGTATTCAGCTGTTTTATGAAGGGAAATGTTTAAACTATTTAAGAAAATACTAAAGGGGACTTTGTCTCAATCATAAACAGTGTAGAGTATTTTAGTGTTTTTAGTTTTTTTATTTTTAGTCTCAAATGCAGCCTCAAAGGCTGATGTAGCTGCAACTAAACCTGAGATGAAAGATAATCCATTTATTGTTTTAAAATGAACCTGTATGAGCTTAAATATTAGATGTTTTAGTCTCTGTTTGTTTACCTATTAGCTACTGAAGCTTCTAACTGAATCTTCTTGGTTTTAAGTATTTATTTTCACACATCTGAGATATGTTAAGTTGCAGCTGCTTACAAGACCCAACTTCCTCATTCATCTGCTTCAAAATAAAAGCACATGACATAGATGGTAATAAGGGACTTTTATTGTGAAAGACTTTCCGGAACTAAATGCGTTTATCACTCGGAGCTGCAGCGGCGATTGTAGTTGCGAAGGCTGTAGTGAGAAAGAGTACTCAGCCACTTCCTTGCCCAAGAGTTAGAGCCACAGCCAACTTATTTGAATCATCTTGGACTTAAGACAATGAGACATCAGTTTATAAACACCTTCAGCAGGTAGACCCACAGTAGTGGAGGTGCTTATCCGTGCTAGCTGAAATGGCACCGAGCCAAGAAAAGGGTCTCTGTCTGTCTGTCTCTCTCTCTCTCTCTCTCTCTCTCTCTCTCTCTCTCTTTCTCTCTGTCTCTGTCTACGACTAGTGCTACTAGTGTGACTAGTGCTACTAGTGTGACTAGTGCTACTAGTACAACTAGTGTGACTAGTGCTACTAGTGTGACTAGTGTGACTAGTACAACTAGTGTGACTAGTGCTACTAGTGTGACTAGTGTGACTAGTACAACTAGTGTGACTAGTGCTACTAGTGTGACTAGTGCTACTAGTACGACTAGTGCGACTAGTGTGACTAGTGCTACTAGTACGACTAGTACGACTAGTGTGACTAGTGTGACTAGTGCTACTAGTACGACTAGTGTGACTAGTGTGACTAGTGCTACTAGTACGACTAGTACGACTAGTGCTACTAGTACGACTAGTACGACTAGTGTGACTAGTGCTACTAGTGCGACTAGTGCGACTAGTGTGACTAGTGCTACTAGTACGACTAGTGCTACTAGTGCAACTAGTACTGTAGACATTAGCAGTATATATACGTATAGCCCCATCTGTGGGGCATTTGCAAGTAGTACAATTTTTAACCTTCATTTTACATAATAAAATTACATTTTTAGGGCTCATTTATACGATGGAGTAGAGCCATCTTAAAGAAAAAAAAAGAAAATATTTGAGATTAATCTTGTATATGTACGAGAATAAACATGTAGATTTAGGAGAATAAAGTCATAAATTTACGAAAATGTACATTCATAGAGAAGCCTTCCGCCTGCGCATAAATGATGAAAGGAGAACCCCTAAAGCATTTTCCTCTGCCACAAAAGTTACAGTTGCTTCCAGTATCTTTTCAGGGTCCTGATATTTTATTTGTGATGATGATGTGCTGATAAAACAACTTATCGGATATATTTGTCCAACTGTTTTTACAGACTACACAAGGAAGGAGCCTATTTCCTTATTTGTTAAACCTTTACTATAACAAGATGCTCCACGTTTATCATTTTCGAACAGGCGGCTGCTGCTCTTCTGATATAGACTTAAACAAGAAATTAATCTCGTACATTTGACTTTATTCTCATAAATTAACTATTTGAATCTCTAAATTTTAGGTTTTTTTCCTTTTACGTGGCCCTAATCTTGAATCCCTTTATTTTTCTTAGTTTACCGACTTTAGGCCAAATTAAAACGTATTAAGTACAAGAACATAAATTCTGTATCAAGTTCCAGTTGTTTTAAAGTCCATAATTTTATCTGATTAACTTTTTTCCTTTTTAAAAACAGCATGAATTTATATGAAATATTTACACATTCATTTTTAACTTACAATTGCTCCTTGGGCATTTTTTTTATCACTCTACTGACCTTAAGACGTACTCTTTCTTATGTTTTCTGTAAATACTGTCTTGATGGGATAAAAAAGGAAAAAGAAAATCATGAGAACAGTTCTAAAATGATCTTCTATCTTATTTTAAGTTTATAAAACAATTCTAACATTTAATATATATATAATTTTCATGTTTTACTCTCCATGGAAAGTAAGGAAGAAGCCGTTGCTTCACAGCACTTGCTCCTTCTTACAAAGGGTTAAATTTGTGGAAGGTGGAGGTCTATATGGAGAACCAATGATAAGGTTCAGAGAGTGCCCTGATCCCACCCACTCATTAGCATGTACTTCAACCAGTGTTTCTAGTACGCATTTTGGCTTTCACTAGTAGTACTAGTTAACATTTAAAACCGTAGTAGTTAACTAGTTATGCCAAAAAGAGTACTACTAGTGTAACTAGTGACATTTTGGCTCTTACTAGATAACTAGTTAACCATTTTGAGCCTCACTAGTTCACTAGTAGCACTAAAATGTCCTGAACTAGTGTTACTAGTTGGCTTTTTGCACTAACTAGTTAACTAGTGGACTTTAAGAGCCTCACTAGTAAACTAGTAAAATTTGTAACTGCATCACTAGTGATACTAGTGGACATTTGGGTCTTACTAGTTAACTAGTAAACATTTTGAACCTCACTAGTTTACAAGTAAGGTTAAAAAGAGTCAAACTAGCTTACTAGTGGACATTGTTGCTCTTACTAGTTAACTAGTAAACATTTTTAGGCTCACTAGTTAACTAGTAGACACAAAATATATCTTACTAGTTAACTAGTAGATATTTTGCACCTTACTAGTTAACATGTAGGACTTTTTGCCTTCTACTAGTTTACTAGTAAGTCTTTCAACGTTCTACTAGTAAACTAGTGCGGCCAAAGACTTGACTAGTACAGGAAACTGAGCTTTGATATCAAGGATATCTATTAAATCTTCAATCGGCTTTCCATAAATGCAAGCATTATGTTCCCCATTAAAGAGCTCCACAGTAGCTCAGAATCAAAAACTTAAATTGATGATGATATCATCTCAAGATAAATGATTCTTATCCCGGCTAATTTCATTAGAAATATCATCAAACCTATCATTAAACATCTTTATCTCTCGCCATCACTGAGGCTACTGAGTTGCCTTAATGAAACTCATCTGCATCATTTATCAGGTTTTTTGGGCAAACAATGGCTGAGTGACAACAGAAATCAGATATCCACCCATTATACAGAAGTGACAGCAACACTCACACAGTGATGATAAAATAAAATTAAAATATATATATATTTTTATTTAATAAAGAAAAGGTCGATGATGTCGGGAATCTGGATTCAGTGATACTGCAGTGATAGGACATCTACCCCAGCCTCCGTCCCCACCTACAGGAGTAATTTAAACAGTATATACTATTGATGCTCTATGTTAATTAGTCATAGTTTTTACAGTTTGAAGGGTAACATTTAAATATTCTTAAAAAGATTTTTGCATTGG